CTCCATGATGGTGATGGCTGGAAGCTCGTGACTCCTGGCACTAGGAGGATGGCTGCAGCTGCAGATCTGCAGCTACAGAACAGAGCTGGTACCCTGGTCGTGGACAAAGGTTTGGGAAGAAAGCCTCCATGCCAGCTGAGCCTGAGCTACACAGGAGCATCAGGAAGAAGAGATGACTGACAGTAGATGGAAACTTACTCCCACGTGGGATAGAGGCCCCTACCTGCTCACTTGACCTGCTCTCTAGGGAGGTTTGCTGCTCACCAGGGATTTGGATTCAGGATGTTGTGCAGAGACAAGCTTCAGACTATCGATCACTGCTGCCCTTACACATAGGCACCAACAATACTGCCAAGGGAGACCTGGAGCACTTCAAGCATGACTGCTACGTTGTTCTGGGGTGCTTCACCCTCACATCACCCCTCTCCTTAGGGGTCCAGGTGTTTTTTTCCTCAGTTTTCTCAGTGAGATAGAAGGGCTTGAGGAGAAGTGAAAAAATTGTGCAAGTCAACAACTGTTTGTGAAGCTTGTGTCGACAAAGGGGATTTATAACCATGGAACCTTCTCTGAGAACTCAGGACTATTAAGAAAGGATGCGATCCACCTGACCAAGTAGAGCAAAGGCATCTTTTCCAACAAGCTGGCTAATCTGCCAAGGAGAATTTTAAACTAGGAGTGATTGATTGACCTACATTAAGTGAGGGAGTGGTGTACTGGTTTGATAAGCAAAGGGCATGGGATGACATGACTTCAAGGAGAGACTTTGAAAACAAGAAAACAGGGCAGAAATTCCCCTTGCAACCGAATATGTGCATATAGGGAAGTGTCTACAGAACAGTGTTATGGGGAAAGTTACATCTTTTCTGGGAAGTCAGCGTGACAGAGTGCCTATCTAAAGTGCCTGTGTAGTAACACATGCAGCCTGAGGACAAACAGGAAGAATTGGAGGTCTGTGTCTACCACAGTCCCATTTGGATCATGGACACAGCGTGGGATAGCTTATGTGACTGCAGTGCTGCTGTGGATGGATAGAGGCTCCTTAGGAAGGACAAACCCGGACAATGAGGTGCCCTTTGTGTGCTAGAGCCGAAGGGATACATGGAGTTATGTAGCTCTGTCTTAGGATGGCTGAGCCAGCTGGAACTTTATGGGTTAGGTTTAGAGGGCAGAACAACATGATTGATTTTAACTGTGGCATTCTACTGCAAGCTGCCTAATCAGGAAGAAGTAGAGGAGACCTTCAGATAACTAGAAGGTGACCCTGATCCTCAAGGGAAAGTTTAAGCACCTGCTGGAAGAGCATTGCAGCTGGGCACAGGCAGTCCAGGTTTCTGTAGTGCAGCGAAAATAGCCCACTCACGCAGGGGATTGAAGAGCTGACGACGTGAGGTGCTTTATGGACTTGATACTAACAGGTAAGGAAGGACACTGACCAGGGAATGGTGGCTGAGGCCAGCCTTGACTGAGTTTAATCTGTGACAGATGTTACTGCTGTGAATAAGTTGTGGGAGGCCAGTCAAGGGTGGGGATACATGAAGAAGCTTCTAGCTTGGGAAATGCATGTGAGAACGGTAGCAAAGCATCAGCCTTTCAGCTGGCCTGGGGCTGCCCTGCTGCAAAACATTGGCAGCAGGTCTGATGTTTCTCATGTACTTTGCCTCTCCATCCAAGGAGGATTATTGACCCTAGTTTTCTGTCAATGAGCAAGAGAGGTGTTGAGATCTGCCTGCTGCTATGGGCTCCTGGAAGTAGTCCAAGTTTAAAGCTGTGGAAAGGATGGCTTTTTCTTTTTTTCCTTTTTTTTTTTTTTTTCACTGCTACATTACAAATACAGCTGCTCAGCTTGGCTTCCTTCTCCCTGGCTGGTGTCTTCTGCTTCATTCGCATTTGTGCTTGTGAGCATACCATGGACTGTTCACGCAAAATATGATCAATTCTCGCTTGTCAAATGTCAGTGTGCCTGTCCTTGAGGGTTATATAAACTCTTAAAATAATAGATTGCTTTATTACATGAAAATGACATCATACTTCAAAATGCAATGAATTTTTATTACTGATTTTATTAATTCCTGTATCTATAAATGGCTCTTAAATCTAATGTAACTGCATGCTTGCTAGCATCGCTACTAAGACAGTTATGAATGTATGAGTTTGCTGTTAAGATCAACTTACAGAACAGTAATTAATTAGAAATTATGACTAGTTGGCCTGTCTATTGGAAATCTCCAAGAATATGCATTTGTGGGTACAAAACCCACCTGGTGCAGAGTGTACTGCAGGCTGAGAGCACCTGCGTGGCTGCCTGTTGAGCTTCCTTTGGCAGACTGAGGCCATTCTGCCAGCCCTCGAGTTGCTGGGAGCATGAAGCCAAGCCTCCCAGGACTCTAGCAGAGTGCACTGCTATCATCAACCATTTCATAAATTTAATTTTTGAAACACTGAATTGTCTTAATTCTGTTGTGGGACTAGAGCACTCCCAGATGTGTGCAGGCTCCTGAAGGGCAAAAATGATCAGCCAGTCCTCAGAGCAGACTACTAAAACTCTTTCAGTATTGCTGGAAATCACAGTGGGGTATCACAGGAATGGGAACCCCCAAGGTGGTAACAGGGTCCTAAAATACCAGTCTGCAAACAGCACTTTTGAAATTAAGGTGGCAAGATCTGTGAGGGTCCAGGCTTGAGAAAGCTCCATGTGCAAATGCATTGCTCTGTGATGCATCAGCCATTTAGCATGGCAGGGACAGAGCTGCCTGCCTGAGCTTTCATCCTTCGGCTTTGGGGGTGCTTTAGGTATGATCAGCAAAGACTGAGTACCTCCAAGATAAGGTTTAAGACAAAAAAATTTAATACCTTATTAGTTATAATGAATTTATAGTCTGCCTTTTAAGATACATTATTGGTTTTACAAGGGGAGAGCAGTAAGCTGTGATTTTGGTGTTGAAATTAATCCCTCTTAAGTACAGTGAAGTTGAACGGTGGGTGCAAATCAGCGAACAAGACCACAGCAAAGCTGTGCAAGCCTCCTAGGGGGTCTTTTATGGGGATATTGCAAAGGCACAACTAAAGGATGCTTTGGTTTGGGCTGGGCAGGTCTTGTAGGATCAAACTCCAGTGAGAGAGTCTGTGGAACTGGCAGTGTTTTTTCTGTATTTCATGGTGGATATTTTTTTTAAAGTGGCTGGTGAAACGGTCTCTGATCTTGTAAGGGTCTGTCACGGGATTAAATGCGCAGTGTCCAATCCAGGAAAATGTACCCTATGGAAGACTATCTATGCTCCCTACTCTCTATATAGTACATGAATCTCACAAAAAAACCCCACATGATCTGGCAAACAGTACTGAGGGTTCAAGCCACCTTGATTAGTTTAAATATCTGAATAGCCAGTGACTTTAAGGAGTAAAATGGGAATATAAAAAAAGGGACAGAGCAAGATGCAAGATGGAATGTGAATTTGCTCATCATCTTCACATCCTCAAGAAAAACTGTTCTAAACGCAAGTGGCATATAAAGTCTAGGTTCACTCTAAATGAACCAAGCAAATCCCTGCCCACCATCCAATTTTTTTTTCTCTGTCTTCCTCTCTTCCCCATCTTCTACTTAAACCCTGTAAGCAATATCTCCCAAAAATATATATAGGAACTTGTTTGGTTCCTTGTCTTTTCAACTTGTCAGTTAGTTAAAAGCATTTCATTGTTTAAAGCATTCTTCAAAAATGCTTTCAGCCCTGATTACTGTTTTTTTTCTCCCCCAAGTCTTTTCAGGTGTCAGATGTCTGATATGGATGTACTCTGAACTATATACAATATTCTAGCTGTGGGCTCATTAATTCAAAACTGGAAAAGGCTCTTAATTTTTCACTCCATATAACTTATCTCTCCGCTGGGGTTAAAAATATTTTGGAACATTTTTTGCTAGTGGATTGCATTCCAAAGTAATATGAAATATTTTAAATATAGATAGTACTTCCACAGGGCTAATTGCATAAGCTGAAACCAATTCTGAATCAAAGTTCTGCAAGGAGGAATTTAAGCAGCTAGATTGTACACTGTTTAAGAGCACTGAAAAAGTCCACTACAGAAAAAAAGAGTTATTTTGCTTGGAAAATTA